AATCCAGACAGTTTCCCTAAAAATTAAAATACAATATTAACATAAATAAAAACATAAAACTTGAAAGAGAACTATAAAATTTACTAGGATTTTGTGAGGAAATTTGCTCATTGCTAAATTTGCTTGGCCTTTAAAAACTCTGGTGAAACATTCTTTTTGATACTCAGTTGGTGTTCCAAAATGTAGTGTGCGAGTTACATCAGTAGTTCCATCCCTATTTTAGTGAAAATATATTTAATAGTAAGAATAAAATAAATTCATTGTTTAAAATAAAAAAAATTATACTTACAAAAATTGACCACCTGAGTCACACAAATACATTTCATCTACGCTTAATTTTCTATCAGTTTCTGGAGTTGGTGAATAATGAATTATTCCACCATTTGGACCAGATGAAGAAATTGTTTCAAAACTTGGACCCACAAAGTCTTCTTGCAAGCTATTAAAATCAATGGTGATCATTAACTGTACTTATTAATTAATAAAAATAAAAAATTATAAATGAAATAAGAATAATGTTTTTAAATAAAAACTACCTTCTAAATGATAATAACTTTTCAGCAACTGATATTTCAGTTAAATTTCCTAATGATATGTTTTCCTCTAACCAAGCAAAATATGAACACAGCGCAGCACCATCTTTAATATGGGCATTTTTAAGACCTACAAAAAAAAATTATCATTTGTATTAAATTAAATTAAACTGATTACAAACTAATAATGACTTTATTTTACCATTAATTTCAACTGAGTTTTTAATAGCTTTCAAGAGTGGAATTGGAGTAGGTTTAGAAATGCGATTTGATTTTGGAACAATATTAACTAAGTTATAACTAGATCGGTCTGATACCCAAACTTTTCCAGTCTTACTGCTGTCTGATGCCAACTAAAATGAAGCATAAAAAGAATTTTATAAATTCAAATAATACTCATTTATCTACATGTAGATAATTATTTAGATAAATAAAATAGCAAAATTATACTTACAATATCATTGAAAAATGTATGCAATTTATCATAAGGTTGTATAATGACTGACAAGTTTTCATTTTTAAAATGTTCAGGTACAGTTGAATCTAGTTTTTTGTCATCAACAAATAAATGGACATCTGTGTGTGTGACTATGACATATGAATAAAATACTGGATTATATGTAATGTCAGATCCTCTCAAGTTTAATAACCCTGAAAACAAAATATGGACAATTAAAAAGTAATAAAAAAAGCATATATAGTATACTGTAATATAAAATATTATCAGCTTTTAAAATAATGATTGGTTTAAAAAAAAAATAATTAAATTTACAAAGAATACATCATTGATAAAATATTCACACTTACATGCAATTTCATCTAGAGCAGTTACCAACAAAATAGTAGCATTTTTTTCAGTCATTTTCTGTCTTATTTCTTCAACCTTTTCTCCACACTTTTTTCCTAGAATAAAATAATAACTATTAACAATAGTTAATAAACTCACTGATTGAAAAAAATAATAATAATTAACAATCCAGTAAACTTAATGTTTAATGGTTTAACTGGATTTGATGGAATAGCTGGACGATCAGACCACATACGATCTATGAGATTGGTATCTAATGGAATCAAATTAATGCCTTTATATTTTATTTCTTTATTGATTCTACGCCATTCACTATATGTTATTAGATTTGCATCAACAGCAATTCTAGAGCCAGTTTTCATATTTTTAGTAAGCCATTCTGCTAATGTAAGTGTATCTGGTAATCCTGAAACAAATAAATAATATTTAAGTAGTATTAACTTGAATTATTTCATTTTTTTTTTAAAGGTTAAATATTAGTCATTTGCAAACTTTTATTAGTGTAAAAATGGTTTTTAGTTTAAACTTGGTATAAGTTTTAAATTGTTAACATTAATTAAAATAATAGTACATGATTTATTATGAATAGGTATTCTAAAATTATTATTTTCAAATACACATTTTTTCACATAACATAATAATGCAGAGTAAATATTTTTCTATAAAATAAAACATTTTTCCCATGTATAATTTATCAACATAGACATTCTCAAGTAAATACAGTAAAATTACATATTATGTAAAATGGCAACTAGGCAGGATGGTAAACAGAATGAATTAGAAAAAAATGTATAGTTTTACATGTTATTTATTACAAAAAAAAAAAATTTAGAATTATGCATACACATTTATAAGGTTGTTAAATTGTATTATATTGCATATACATATTAGTCATATTACTATGTTGTATTATATTATGTATTATTTAAAAAAAAAAAATGGTAATGATTTGTTATTTCAATAAAAAATTAAAAACATATGTATCATGCGTGCACCACTTCAACACAAATAGTTATACAATACAAATATCACGCCACAAAATATCAAAATACCATTCATTATCTTTATTAATCAATGACATTAAATAGGTAATCGGTTAATGAGAGCACTGTGCCAGAACACATAATATCATATTATGAAGGTAAGATGAATGTTTCAACAAAATTTTACCGATGTATAATATGTACAAGTATCCGGAAAATAGAGTGGATTATGTGGGATGGCATTAAGAGGGAGAATATTAATGAGGTTTTACTATATTATCTTTGAAAATTAAAATTTAATAGTTAATATTAGAACCATTAAGATAAAATAAATATAATAACGATGGCCAAACAGTAAATTAAAAAGTTGGTTAAAAAAAATTAATAATAATTAATCTGGTAATTTAAAAAAATTTATTAATATGTATTTTTCTTTTCATAATATTATTTATTTATAATATGTGTAATTATAAAAAACATAATATAAATAAAAAAAGAAATATGTTATAAGCATAATATTTAATTTTTTTTTTTCAAAATTTTAATTTAAATTAAAGTTATATAAGTATGAAAAATATTACATTTTAAAAATACTTTTAAATAGGGAAAGAGTTTCAATGAACTTAGTTTTTTTTTTTTTGTTAATGATACAAAGCTTGTTGTACAATTTAATTATATATCATAATATAGAATGCATATAGTAAATTTTAGTTTTATTAGGAACAACCAATATTAAACAGACTATGATAGTTAAATTATACTATTAATACAAAATTAAATTATATAATTCATACTTGAAAATATTGAATAACAAGACATCTAAACCTATCACAGAAAGTAGTTATACATTTAATTTTAGCAATTGTCCAACAATAAGACCAATAAAAGTAAACATGAAGTGAAGAATGTAATTTGTCATTTGATATGGTATGATGTAGTAATAAAATGGAGATAACAAATAAGGTTATGGCATTATTTTTAAGTTGTCTTAAGTTTACTTAGGGTTTTGATTATTATATTTTCAATGACTAAGGTACTAATTATTTTATCATTATAATCATACATTTTTACAAGATTAAATATTTTCTTATACCATATTAAGTTAACTAGTTTTATTAATTATTTAATATTGCTTAATTAAAAATAATAACCATTTTAACAAATATAAATACCATTAATTGTACTATGAAGTCTATATAAATTATATAATGATGTCAATTTATATTTAAAATTGAATCATAACTATTTTATGACTACATTTTATTATTTATATAAATATATATTTTTTTTAAATATAGTTATTTAATATAGGTATACAAACCCATTTTCATTAAAGTCCAATTATCATCTAATTGTTGCTGGGCTTGTACAAAGTAACGACCATCCGTCCACAATAAGGCCTCACTTTGTGTAATAAGAGCAACACCAGCAGAACCTGTGAAACCAGAGATAAAAGCTCGCCGTCCATCGCACGCAGAAATATATTCATTCTAAAAAAAAAATTATTTTAACAATAGGATAATGTAGAGATATTGAAATATAAGTTTACTTGATGAGCATCTTCTGATAAAACAATATAACCTTGAATAGGTTCACCTAAATACTTTAACTTCATCAGGTCACGTAATCTTGACAAAAGAGGTCCAGTACTACGCACTGCCATGATGCTATAAACATTATCAATCACATAGAAAATGTATAAATAATAAATTATGTTATACTTATAAAAATAAAAACAAAGCATTATAAACTTATAACAAAACAATTAGTGAAAATAAAAGCAACAGTTGTATAGTAAAATTTGAAAAATTAGGTACAAATCAATAAGTTGAATGACTAAAACAAAATTCAAATAAATATATGTCAGTTCACATACAGTTCTGGTGTATCAAATCAAAAATCCACAGAAGACCTTGTATCAGTAACTGTTTGGGGATATTCACAAAGTATTAGAAACCAAGTAATTATAATGCTGGTTTAAAGACGATTTCGAATACTACGTAATAAAGTGAAAACAATACCACAAAAAAGTTGGTCAAATTGAGTAATATCAAACAGTAGAAAATAATGTACCTTAATGTGCTAAGTTGAAATTCCACTTATGTAAAGAAAAAAATACACTACTGTAGTGGAGTGGAGTGAACGATTATTTTGTGTTCAGAAAACACGAATCACGCATCAAAAGTGGTGGTCGATGTGAATTCAGAAAACAAATAATAATAAATTGTAAACGTAAAAATTAAACATGTTATCATCATTCTGCACTCATCATAGCTGGAAAGAGTGGAAAGTGAAAATACTTATCTCATGCGTTATCAGTCCACTGCCAACAGCATTGCACGCCAAGTGCGCATGCCTGACAACAATGAATACATACCGACCTGGGTCTATACACCATATACCATGTACAAGTGTACCGACCACATACCAACACTGCACGACAACACTGCAGAACTTCAGTAGATAAAAAAGCATTTTTCCTTTTTTTTTTTTTTCGTACTTCTAATAGTGTTTTGTATTGGAATGTAATAAAAATGAAAACGGGATTACAATTAAAATTTCTCGCGGTCTAGATCGTCGTGAATGATCTGAGTGTGACTTGGTGACCGTTGGTGTTTATTCCCAGGATACAGGTAATTTATACAATTATTTTATTTTGGTAAAATTTCGCCGAACCTCAATGAGGTTATGCGCGCTGGTAGTTCTGTGCTCATAATATAATCGATTTGATTACAAGACAGGCACTCTGCGTTACGTGCGCGCGCTTGTCTGCGTGTATATGTAATGTTTATGTGTTTATTTTTTTTTCTCCGAATATAAGTGGGATCGAGATCGGCCTTCAAAATATTCTGATTTCCGATGCAATTATTGTTGTGTTTCCGCGGTTCTTAAATGATCACTATTTAATCCCTGGTACGCGTATTTTATTAAAGTAAAATTAAGATAAGTTAGCTGTGTCGATTTTTATCCCCGATGCTTGAGAAATATTGTGTGCGTTCATTGCTGTAAAACAAAGGAATATTGTAAAAAATGGCTGAAGTAAAACCTGCCAGTAGTCAACAACAACCAATCGTCAAAATAGGTCATTATATACTTGGACAAACACTCGGTGTTGGTACGTTTGGCAAGGTGAAAATTGGTGAACATCAGCTTACCAAACACAAGGTGGCTGTCAAAATACTCAATAGACAGAAGATTAAAAGTTTGGATGTGGTTGGAAAAATACGTCGAGAAATCCAAAATCTCAAACTCTTCCGTCATCCTCACATCATTAAACTGTATCAAGTTATCAGCACGCCTACTGATATATTTATGATAATGGAGTATGTATCTGGTGGAGAACTATTTGATTATATAGTAAAACATGGTAAACTTAAGGAATTTGAGGCTCGTCGTTTCTTTCAACAAATCATATCTGGCGTTGATTATTGTCATAGACACATGATTGTACATAGAGATTTAAAACCTGAAAACTTATTATTAGATCATAATCTACATGTTAAAATTGCTGATTTTGGCTTATCCAATATGATGATGGATGGAGAATTTTTAAGAACAAGTTGTGGATCACCTAACTATGCTGCACCTGAGGTTATTTCAGGAAAGTTGTACGCTGGACCTGAGGTAGATATTTGGTCATGTGGTGTTATTTTATATGCATTATTATGTGGTTCTTTACCTTTTGATGATGAACATGTGCCAACTTTATTTCGAAAAATTAAATCTGGTATCTTTCCTATACCAGATTATTTGAACAAATCTGTTGTTAGTTTGCTGTGTCATATGTTACAAGTTGATCCAATGAAGAGGGCATCTATTGAAGATATTAAAAAACATGAATGGTTCCAGTATGAACTACCAGCATATCTTTTCCCTTCACCAGTTGATCGAGACTCTTCAGTGATTGATACAGATGCTGTTAATGAAGTTTGTGAAAAATTTAGTGTAAAAGATTCTGAAGTTCATAATGCTTTATTAAGTGGTGATCCACATGATCAATTAGGTATTGCCTATCATTTAATAATTGATAATAAACGAATTGCTGATGAAGCAGCCAAAGCAGAATTAAAAGATTTTTATATTGCTAGTAGTCCACCTCCAGCAGGAGGAAGTTTGGAGCCATCAACTTTAAATTCAGTGACAAAACCACATCCTGAAAGAATAATATCTCAAAGAGAACGTGCTCAATCTATAGATCAAGGTGCGAGAGGATCTCCAATGAAAAGAGCTAAATGGCATTTAGGCATACGATCTCAAAGCAGACCTACAGATATTATGAATGAAGTATACAGAGCAATGAAAGCATTGAATTTTCAATGGAAAGTAATAAATCCTTATCATGTTCAAGTAAGACACATGAATCAAAAAACTGATAATTATATCATGATCTCGCTACAATTGTATCAAGTTGATTACAAAAGCTATTTGTTAGATTTTAAGAGTTTAACAAATGATCAGTTGGAAAATGGAAATATACCTGCACCAACCTTGGAAATTGAAAATCAATCTCCAAGACAAGATGTTGCTGTACAATCACAAAAAAAATGTGTAGGACATCATACAATGGAGTTTTTTGAAATGTGTGCGTCTTTGATTACTCAACTTGCCCATTAATTAATAAATACAAATATTTGTTGCAATTATTTAATGCAAGTATATACCAAATTGTTAAAAAAGTAAATGTAATCCTTAGATGAGCAGTTAGTTGTTTTTTTGTTGTATAATTTTCTCGTATTTATATGTATGTGGCCATACAAATTTTACATTATAAAATTTGTGAGAGATTCAATCAGTCTATCCTATCAGAAAACATACTTGGTTGTGAATTGGAATGAGGCCCATTAATCAACTATATTGAATTATCCCCCTCCATATCTATAATATATACTATCTTCGCTTATCAAAATTTTGTGGAAAGCATTGTTAAATAAAAAACGGAATGCATCATGAGTGAAAAGTTTTCTTGTGGAAACAGATTTTAGTAACAGAACTTAAATGATCTTATACCTTTATATTATATGATTGTTTTAATATATGTATTATTTTATGGTTGCCTATATGTACTTTTGTTTCAATATTTATTTTTATCGTATATGTCTTGAGAGAAATATGTATTTAAATCTCAAATTTTAGAATAATATAAGATACCTTAAAGATGTATTTTTTATAATTTATAATTGAAAGTGCTCTATAAAGTATCTAATATTATACTATACCTATAGAATATTAATATACAGATTAAAGCGTCATGTTTAGATTTTTAAATTCTTTAAAATTTGTCAACATTAAGTAAAATCAATTATTTATTATGATTTTTAGGCATGTAAAGAATGAAAATTTTTGAATATATTCATTATTTTATTACAAGTATATTTCATTATTTTTGTATGATAAAATTATTTTTACTGCACCTTGATTGGGTTTGTAATTCAGTGATAAGTTGTCAATTGTTATATTAATTTTTAAAACTTGAACAAATAATTAAGTTATATTTTCTTGTCACTTTTATATTTACATTTAAATATAACTAGATTTTTACTTTTAATCAATAAAGAAAAAAACTGTCGAGACTTAATTATAAAATATATTTTTTTTTAAATTTCCTTTTGTTATATTTTGATTGTTTGAAAAATTGGCTAAATTTGAAATATATCTGAATTAATTAAGTTTGGTTAAAAAAAATGTTATTGTACAGTGTACTTATAACTTATAAATGATTATTTAACTGATTAAATTTTATATGCCAAATGTATAATTACATAATGAATGAATATATATATTAGATTCGTGATATATTTGTATGTATTGTTATATTTTGTAAGAGAAGATTTTTTTACAATAAAATTGTATTATAATAATTTGTTTTGAATTTCTTAAAATATATATTATATTGCTTAACATTATTTTCATGTGTATTGTCTTTGTCTTACTAATGTATAACATACCAAAATGTAGATTTACTCAAAGCAATTTCAAATTTGTGTTAACTTAAATGTTGGTGAAATTTAATCTATTCTCAAACTCAAAGTTAAGAACATTATTATTAGTGTTTCCTTGTTGGTTGTTTACAATATTTATATTTTATTAAAAATTTAAATAACATAAAAAACCAACAAGAGAACACAAATAATGTTCTTGCTTTAAGTTGGTAATAGGTTATTTTTTCCAATATTTAAGCTTAATACATAAAATTGGAACTGCTAATCATATATTTTGGTATGGTATACATTAGTTATATAAATAACACATACAGGTACAATGTCTTATTAATATTTGGTATAATTTTAAAGTAAAGTATTTTTGTAACAAACAAGCACTAATGAACTTCATTAAAAACACATTTCATTTTCTATTAAGAGTAATTATAAATTATTTAACATGATTTTATAATTATTACATTTTTCTTAAACAAAAAAAAAATGTGTATTATTAATAATAACATTTTTAAAATATTTCCTTGTTATTTATAAAATAATTTAATGCTTTTTTAGTAAAAAAAAAAAAAAAAGTATATTTAGAGGGTACCATACACACGTGTGATTTTTGCATATTACTAAAATATTAAACAGCGAAATCAATAAATGTTATATAATTAACTTTAATGTTGTAGGTAATTAATTAATTATAATATCTGTGTTAGTTCATCAGTTTTTTCATATTATAATTTTTAAGTTAATTGTGACATGAGTATGTAGAATTCTGCAATTTAAATATGCTTATATTTTGCTATTATCTTATTAGTTATAAATGCATAATATCAAACTCAGTTAGTATTGTTAATTTAAATATTAGATTAGTTTAATTTTTATTTTTATGTTTTAATTTTAAAATTAGATGAGTATTTTTAAATTGTAATATTTGAGTTTAAAATTTAAATATTTTTAAAAAAAACTGATGAAAGATAAAGATAATATTAATTTTCTTCAAGTTAAATATTGGATCAATTCATCATACTAAATTTAATTAAATGGATTTTTTGAATGTAAATAATTTATTATGTTATGTGTTGTAAGACAGAAACAACAAATAACAGTAATAATCTTATTACTATTCATTGCTTAACTTTTTAAATTTTTATTTTTGAAATACTGAAAATTTAGATGAAATTATTTTTTAAATAAATTATTGATTAAAATTTTGCATAAATACGTCAATGTCATCTTATGTGCTAATGTTATGTCTTAATACTATGTATATATAATTCTAATTTTTTAGTATCTGATAAAGAAATAAAACAGAATTCGATTGACATTTTTTGATAGATGTTACAAAATGTTCAATAAGTATTTAAATTTTAGATAGTTCTTCACCAAATATTGTTTATTTGTACTTATGAACTAATATTGGGATTTGGGCTATTATCAAGTTGATGGTTAATTTCTTAGTTTTTAAAATTGTTTTTTTTTTTTTTTAATATAATACAGTATTAAAATATAAAATATTATATATTATTTATAATATAAATATTAGATACCTATCTATTTTTATTTTAGGGATGGATATAAGTTAAAATAATTATTATCATCTAAATTACCAGTTTGAATTTTTAAATATTTTCTGATAAAATGAACATTTTATTTTAAACTTCCAATACTCATTTTTATATTATTATTATTTACTCCCTTTATTTACCCAAATATTTTACTAATACAAATAATATTAGTAATTGATAATTCTAGTAGTATGTCGACATTTTAATATATTATATTTTTTTTATACTATACATATGTAGTATGTTGATTGTACAATAGAACAATGGGACTGTAAACATAATATAACTGCTAAACAAACAATTTTTATTTTATTTATATTTATTACAATACATTATTACCTAACACATTGATAATGTATAAAATGTTATATATGCTGTGACTAAGATAAAGAATTGTTGAAATAGTCCAGATTCGAGTAAATATCTAATTTATTAATATTTTTATTGCCAAATAAATAGAATCTTATGACAAATTACAATTATTATTTTATGTATTTCATTGAAACTCTAATAATAATTATTTTTATTGATAGCTTTTTAATCATTAATGTGTACTTGAATGTTTAGGATGCCTACCGTGGATGTACCAGAAATCCGTGTTAAAACGGCTTTCAATGGGTAAGCTAAGCTAGTATATAATAATATATTATTTTTATTAATTAACAAATCATTTACTAACATTTCAAATATTTGTTTTAGGGAAGTTATGATTACGTACATAGATCCAAAAATAACTGTAGATCAACTTCGATACGAAATGATGGTTATTTGTAGGTTTTCATCTGATCAAGATTTCACAATGAAATGGGTTGATGAAGAAGGTAATAATTTAATTTTTATATTTTTTTTTATTAATTATTTTCTATATATTATTATGTATGCTTTACAAACATACAATATTGTTTATCTTTGATTAGCATTAATAATATTGTGTTGTTAGCTTTATTTATTGAGTAAATTAACTTATTATCAAACTTAATGAGAAAATTATCTGTCCGTTCATTGATTTTTTTAAATAAAAAAGTTAATAGTATGTGAAATATAGCTATTTAAAAATATTAAACTCACAGATACGAATAATTTTCTTACTTTAAGAAGACATTGCATCCAATTGTGTTGTCTCTGTGTTACATATGTGAAACATGGTAAATGTTTTGTTCATAACATTTTATATTACTTTAATATTTTTAAAATAAACTATAGTTAAATCTGTAATTTAAAAATCAATCATAATTTACTTCAAAATTGAATTGTTAATAATTTCTTCAAGATTCCATAAATGATTTTATAATAGATCAATTTACTTTAATTTTAAAAATATCAATAAAATAGATTAATGTGAAGAAAAAATTTTCGATTTTGTACAATTGTAAGATGGAGACAATGCACACACACACATACGTATGTGGCAACTTCTTAGGTTAGATTAGATTAAATTGACACCCAACAATTGATTCTATCAAACGCAATTTTATTTTGTTATGATGTGTATTTAAAAAATTGAACCAAATCATGCATTAATAAGTATGATGCATAATTAATTAAGCTGAATAGATTTAATTGTTATTTTTTTAAATTAAAAACAATATTTATAGTCATAAATAATAAGCATAGATTCAACAAAATTTAAATTTTAGTGGTTGTTGTTAAAGTGCTAAAATTGTTAACAGCTGTCAGATTTACTTGACCTATACTCATCAAATCATTTCATATTCATCTTGGGCTTGGTTAAAAAATTCTGTATTAGATGTTATTATGAAATTGAGTGTTAATAATTTACTTTTTTTATAAACTTTTCCTTGTGTATGCTAATACAATGTATTAAATAAAATAAAAACAAAAAATAAATAAAAATAAGTCATGTACGTTCAAATATGTATTATTTTCAAAGTTTTTTTTTTTTTTTTATATATATGTAAATATTCATCTAAAATTAACTAATTTTTGTAATATCTGATTGAATATTTAAAAAAAAAATATAGTGTAACAGATTTGTGGAACTTGTACTTGTGTAATATGCTATCTAGTGCTACTTTGTTGATGTAATATAGTGTCCACTGGAAAATATGACAGGTACCTGTCATATTCTTTTGTATGTTTTATTTTTATTTCATTGTGTTTTTTTTCAGTTAGTCATCAAGATAATTTATTACCATATAATTATATAATGCACATTATGATAACTGGTATCCACCAAGATTTACTTTTTTTGGTAACATTTAATAAATATAAAGTGTACAATAATTTATAAAATTTTAAAATACTTAACAATCTATTGGTTATCAGCTATACATTTAGTAAGTTTCACTTTAATAAATTGTAATTAATTAGTAGGTAGAAAATGCCATTTTTAATTACTATGATATTTTATAGTAGGTAGCATACTACTCAAGTACCAAAAGATATATCATTGAAATATTGTTGTAGGTAACATTTATCTTTAATGATCCTTACCAATTTTGGATTTCCCATATGCTAGACAAACTATGCTTGCATGTTTTAAAATTAACAGAAATTAAGCTAACAGTTAAAAATAATTGATATACGTTAGGAAAAGCCTATTTTTATATGATATTTCTCAAGTACAATGTCATTGATAGTATTAATTATTGTAATTATAATTATTATCAAACCATTCTATAATTAATCTAAAATGTTTCAAAGTAAATACTGAATTTGAACAATCAAAATACATAATACTTTTTTGAATATTTATTTAAAAGTTAAGAATCACAAATTGGATTTTTAGAAGTATTAACTTTGAGTTTGGTTGGGGATGTTAAGATCCTCCTGGATCCCCCTCCCCCATCTTCGTGCCCCTATGACTATATGTTATTCTCATATCAAAATACATTTATAATATCACTTAATAAGGAAAGTCACATATTAATAATATTCAGCCTAAAATGATTTAGAGTATTAAATTAATATTTAAATATATAATTAAATATAACAAAAGCTTAATAATAAATTTAGATATGTTTGGCTCAAAGCTTTCACAGAGTTGTACTTTAAAATAAAAAAATCTAGTTATTTATAAAGAAAGTGTTAATAAATAATTTACTTTTAAATCTATTCACTAGAAAATCTAGACTGCTACACATTAAGATCAAAATTCTTAGGATCCAATCAAATAAAATTGTTTATTCCAGACAAAACTTTTAATTTTTAGTATAAACAGTGACTTTTATATAATTCAATAATTAAAGAATTAGCAAATAAATATATTACTTAATTTAGTATACAGAATATTTACTAAGCATGTCTATCCCAATTTTATGATTTAATAATATATTTAAACTTTAAATTTTCATTACTTTTAAGTATACTTTAAAAAATATCTGTTGCATAAAAACATTTTATTTTATTGGAACTTTGATTTATATAAAAATAAATTTTAATGAGTAATTGCTAAGCTTATACTCTAATTTCTAAGGACAAAAACCTAGAATAATGAGTTTAAAGCATATAGACTATAAAAATTATGATTGTTTTAATATTTTATTTTATTTTAATAAAATTAATATTAATTTATTAACATTTTATGATATTTTTAAAAAGTCCAAGTACCTATAATAAGCACTAGAGTAAATACTTCATCTGTTTCATATTAAAATAGAAAAAACATTTATAAGAATTATTGTCTTTAGTATATAATACAAAAGATAACTCTGAAACCCAATCCTAGATTTTATAAAATTAGTTTCATCACCATATTTTTTTAAACTATTAATCTAACTTAACCTTAACTACTCATTACTTACCTATTTATTAGTTACTAGGAGTTATAAATGTCAAAAAAATTTTAAATTCTAATAAAACTATATATTATTATTAGTGATGTATTAATCTAAACCATTTTGTTAAATGTCTCTTTATTTTATAATAACAATATTAAGAACTGTATCAACTCATTAACTCATTAGTAATTATAGATTTATCATTAGTGACTAATCTTCCATGAATAAGACTAACTAATATAATAATTCTTGATGTGTTTTTTCTCTTTCTGTTATTTTTAATTTTTTCCCAATTTATCAGGTACTATATTTTTAACAACTTCAAATATTCATCAAAACCATTTAAAATGTTTACTTATCACGAAATATGTCTTAATAAATTTATATTTTTTAATAAAAGTACTACATTTATTACAGCACACTTCATTTTTTTGTTCAAATTATGATATTAAATGTTTCGAAAATTAATACAACACAAGTAATTCTATAAAAACACTCTAGTTCTAGCATATAAAAAAAGCAGATAGGTAGGTACATTTTTATTTTTTTATATACATTAAATATTAATGATAAATATAATAAACATACCACAAATTAATGTAGATTATTAGTAAATGTGTCCAACATTAATAATTTCAAATTCGCAATTGTTTTTTTTTATAAATGTCGGCTTTATTTTTAAAAGATTTCTGTGTGTTTAAATAAAATTGAATTTGTTTTGAGTATATTTAGTATTATTATTTAGTAATAATTATTTTTACATTTAGGCGATCCTTGTATATTATCTACACAAATGGAATTGGATGAAGCCATTCGATTATACGAACTGAATAAAGATTCTGAATTAACAATACACGGTAAGTCCAAACCCTCCCCCACCCACTCCTCAACAAATCAAATAACATTTTTTCGATGTCGATCGGTCATTATAATGTTCTCTTGATACATGTCACATAGAGTATTATTTAAATGAAAATAATCTTGGTGTATAGGTTTTAATGCAATATGTATAATAATAATAATAATAATGTGCATGTTAATGGTACTCAAAATTTAAGTCTCTCGTTGTTGTTAGTCAAACACGGCAGACTGCAACTACAATATAACATTATTTGTGCCATTCTTGTCCCCCCCCCTCGGCACTAGTGTCCTCACCACCTTCTAGTTGGATACATGGGTCATGAGTACTCCTTGAACAGTGGCGGTGAGGGTGTTAGGAATCAGGTGGGATATCGTCTACCCCTACGGCGGTTTCAGGAACGAGCCGAGCGGGGGAAGTACCGTACGTAATGCCGGATTCGGCGCTTTGGTGTTTTGATTTTAGGGTGGAACCTTCGTACGACCAGTGGTACTAGAAGTGCTTGTGGTGTCTTTAAAAGCTCAATTACATATCAATACATATCGCGTTGTGGTTTATTATGTCGACGGTAAAAATACTAATTCATTCGTTATGCGTTCGGTGTGATGACAATAATAATTATTGAAAGCAAACAGTTTCGCGCTGCTGGTAGGGCGTCGGTGCATTAGGTTTTTTTTACTGCTATTATTATTATTATTATTGATTTTTCCATTTGTCGTCGGGCTGCGCGGCAGTTGATGAACGCTTCTTTCCCGTATCGTGTACAACGTGTCCGTTCGTATTTTTGTGACGGTTTTTTGCGTTTACGTATTCGTTGATAACTTATCTAGATTACATATTTTATGTTGATTCTTTACACGCGTTTTAAATTTTAAATAAAAACATATTAATACTTAGCAAATTCTATTCACTTATATCTATTTTATTTATTTATTATTTGTATCATCTTCAATAATAATACAACGTGCCACCCATGTTCATCAATGCTTGTTAATTTGTAGATGATCGGATCAATTATTATTAATTCATTTTTCTAGTTTATTTATCTAGTTAATTATATGCAAATATTTGTTTTTTTTTTTAAATATATATTCACGAATTAATAATAAATTGTCTAAAGGGCGGACATTTTGATTTGATTTTTACTTGTTAATTATATTTTTAAATCATTACGGTTTTCTGATTCATACAGCTTTACCCTTGCTTTTTTTTTTTTATTCAACAGACTTTAATTGTACTTAATTTTTAACACCCATTTTTGAGTTTCATAAGTGTAAAAAAAATAAAAATAAATTAGTCCACTATGGCTTGGGGCTATTGGAGTGCATCAACTGTTTCTGACCGAGGCAAGTCACCAAAACGGCAATCGTCATCTTTGGGTTTTTATAATCATCATGTACCAATTTCCACCCCAGCTCCTCCATCTACATCATATTACCAACATCAGCCCTTGCACAGCACTAGTAGTTTTGGTTCCATAGAAGATGATGATTATCATCATAACTCTACATTTAACCGTCGTCCTTCACTAGGAGATATAGAATTCACAGGGCCGGGTTCATTATCTTTATTGTTGAATCAGGCTATTCCTCCTTCTCGGCCCAGAACACCACCACCACGTCATTTGTATGCTCCACCCACTTCACTAAGTTTACCAGATTCGTGTGGATCAAATATGGCTATGCGTCAAAACATAAATTGTTTTGGTTACCAATCTACTCCTATTGTACAACATTATCCTTGCAGTGTTCATGACCCATCACCATCTCCTTCTATATCTGATGATGAAGACCATGTTTACGCCACAGGTAACAAATACAATGGTAATGTTGCCAAAAAAATCATAATCGTTTGTGAATATATGGATATGTTAGTGTGTGGATGTGTGCGTGTATTCATGTGTAGTTGTAGTAGTAGCTATATTAGTGGAAAGTTAGTAAAATATTAGTAATTATAATTCATTATTATTAGATAATAATTAAATTTACTTTTGTTAATTTAAATAAAAATCTGTGAACTTGATAATTTAAGTATATTATATTAAATATGTTATTTCTAACTTTTTGTTTTGACAAATTTGGTATAGTTTAAATTATTGTTGTGTTTGACATTAAATTTGAGTTCCATTATGCACTAACAATGCATGTTAACAATAAAATTATACTTTATTTTAATTTAATAAATTATTATTGAGTATGCTTATAAGTAGATTCATATTACAATTTAAAATATATTTCTTCTGAATGTATTGTGTTCAATATTTAAATTTATTACAATAAGAATATCATTATCATTTAAAACATTTTTGATACAATTTAAGACTTTTGAAAAGGTAGATATGATCTATCAGATCTTACTAACAAATTCTTTATTTTATACTATAGATATTTGATTTACAACTACTTTTATCAATATATGATAGTATTTTTTAAATTATATGCTTGAAAAGTGGAATAATAATACCAGATTTTATAATTATTACTCTTGTTAAATTTGGAATGTGTAAGATAGTAGACTTATTTATTTTATATTGATATTTGAAATACATGATGTTACTAAACTAATAATATTATATAAAAATTAATCATTTAAATTTTTTTTTAGTTTTTCCTAATGTTCCACCAGCACCAGGAATGCCTTGTCAAGGAGAAGACCGTAAGTTTATAAATTTAAAATTTAAAAATAAAACTATACATAAGATATAGATTTTTATCCTATAAAATACATTGATAATTTGCAGGTAGTATATATAGACGTGGAGCCAGAAGATGGAGAAAACTATATCGAGTGAATGGACATATTTTTCAACCTAAAAGATTTAACAGGGTATGTATAATGAATAAGCCTTATTCATTTTTATGTTGCCAAATTATTTTAAGATAATTAAGAAATTTTCATTTTTATTTATAATAGACTTGTAAGAATTACACTATTTTTAAATTTCATTAAAATCCTTAATGTTTTTTAACAAAGTGCATCTTTTTAAAGAATATTGTCAATTTATTACTAATTATAGTACTACTGATTTCTTTTGTGTTATTGTATTAATATAACATAGTTTATAAATGTATTATAATTAAGATAATACAAATAAACTCAGTTAAATATTAAATTCACTTGTATTATTTTGCATGTTATTACGCAATTAATATCTTTTTATAGTTCTAAATTATATTAACTATATTTTCCATTAGAAAGAGGTCTAAGGTCAATTAATTTTTATGTGTATCTGTATTCTGTATATAATAAAAGTAAGATAAAAAGTATGTTGACGTTTAATTAAATATCAACTAGTTATTAAAAAATAGTAATAATAATTAATTTTATAATGCTTTATATGTTTCTTAACAAATAAGATAAGTTTGAATGTTGTGTTCTACGTTCTTTATTTTAAATTCTCATTCAATAGTTTTTACTAAAATTATAAAATATGGGAATATTTTGTAGTTTTTCTACTAAACAACAAGTACATGACAATAATTTAGTATGTAATAGTAATAGTGATGTTAAACATTTTGTTTCAATTTAATCTACTATTTGACTATAATATTATTAGTTATAACTATTTAATTATTATTATTATTATTATTTTATAATTAGCGAGCATTTTGTGCATATTGTCATGATCGAATTTGGGGATTAGGAAGACAAGGATTCAAATGTATTCAATGCAAATTGCTTATCCACAAAAAATGTCATAAACTTGGTAAAAAAACTTGCACTAATGATCCTATAGTTATCGATGACACCAATGGTGATTCACAAACGTCTCTAAGTAATTATAAAAATACATTTTATCAAAATTATTTTATATATTTCATGTATATGCTGTTAATTTATAGGTACACCTAGTTCTGATACTGCCTTGCCCGATTTAAAAGATTATTCTGATCAAAATTCTGTTATTGATCAATCAGCCGATTCTGTACCCATTGAAGATCCACAAGCTAAAAGTAATATTTCAAAATAATAACAATAATAATATTGTTAAAATATTATTTAATGTTTAATTATATTTATAGCAGGTGATGAAGAAGTCGGAGTTTCACGTCAATATTCTATTGCTGATTTTGAGCTAATTAGGGTTATTGGTCGTGGAAGTTATGCTAAGGTGTTAATGGTTGAACTCAAAAAAACAAAATGCATTTATGCTATGAAAGTTATAAAAAAAGCACTCGTTACAGATGATGAAGTAATTATTATATTTTTATTAATAATAGCTTAAAATCATAATGGGTATTGATGTTAATTAAACAATCACACAGTTCATTAATTTACGATTCAACATTGAATTGTATTATAAATATGTATATTAATAGAAAATTCATTATTTTTTGAAATAGATTATAAAGGCCAATATTTTTAAAAATTAAAGACATTTTTATATTACCATTTGTTTGATTGTCAAATAACAGTCATTTATTTAAAATTTCATGACATAGTAGACAATCTAATGGATTTATGAACAACTTCTCTCTCAGCTTATTAATTTCTAAAAAATGTTTTTTTTACTTCTTAATACCATTTATAATTAATTTATAATAAAATAATTATAACTTTGGACATATATTTTATTATTCAATTTATATTTGATGAAATCAATTATTTATCATTCTTATAAAACAAAAATATATACACTCAAAAACAATACTTTTTTTTGTATTTATATGTTATTAGTCTAAAGCTCAAAAGTTATTGTATTTGCATGGTGTTTTTTTTTTTGAGCTATTAGATCTATTGCTAATTAAGTTTGAAATTAATTTTACAACTCCGCGGAAATAATATTAAAATTTATAGTGCACATTTAGTAATTTTTTAAAATTAAGAGTATATTTTTCAATTTTACCATTTTTTAGAGTATAGTTGATGATTAATAATATATTTATAATACAATTTGAAAATTTGATAATAAAAAACAATTCTTTATAATGTATATTTTATTTTGAGGTTTTTTATTAGGTATTATTGTATCATGCTTTTCAAATCCTTAGTTGACATAAAATTTTCTGTTCTTATCAATAAATATCTTGTACAAATTATAAAATATAAAAATATTTGTATTTGTGAAAATTGTGAGTTGAAAAAAATGATGAGTGTATTTGTTTAAAGCATATTTGTGTGCACTTAAGTGCATGCACATTTAGTGCATTTTAAGTGCATTAAGTTTACATTATTAATTAGTGTTTATGTAATGAAAATATAAGTTTTCAAGGTTGTGATATCTTGAATATTATATAACTGTTTAATTAAGTAATAGAAATTCAATATTTAATGTTTATTTTTTTAATTTTAGGATATTGATTGGGTTCAAACAGAAAAACATGTTTTTGAAACTGCCTCTAACCATCCATTTTTAGTCGGTCTCCATTCTTGCTTCCAAACTGCCAGCCGTTTATTTTTTGTGATTGAATTTGTTCGTGGAGGTGACTTAATGTTTCATATGCAAAGGCAAAGACGATTGCCTGAAGAACATGCTAGATTTTATGCTGCAGAAATTAGCTTAGCTTTAAATTTTTTGCACACTAAAGGTAAAATCAATTGTTTTTCTCTTATCTATTAATATAATAATTTTTTTATATTAATTCATCGCAATTCTTGATATAGTCATTTGGTAAATATTTTAATTCGTTTTAATGACAGAATAAAGTAAATTTTTTTATCAAGTCTATAGATGTATGTAGAGTGACCAAACCAATTGAAATATTAATAAAATAAATACCCTCAGAATTATTAAATCTGTAATTGTACAGATAGTATATTTTTACCTGATTGAATCATTATTTTAATAAAAAATGCTTTTTGGTGATTTTATATTTATTTATAAGAAATTAAGGGAAAAAAAATTATTTTTAAGCATATAGTATATTTTCTAGACATAATTTAAATTTAAAAATATTTTAGTTATTTTTAGAGCTATTTATAAATATATGAAATTATTAACTTAATTTACTTTGACTTATTTTTATAGTTAATTACAATATAATAATTAATAATATATATGCTATGTTTTTTTAAGAAATAGTTGAAGCTTTCATACTATTTATAGAAAAATTAACTATTTTTAGTAATATATATTCAATAAATTATTAAATATCCTAAGAAATAGAAGGTGACATATCTGACACACTATCTCTGCTCATAATCAATTTTGTTTAAAAGATTTATCATTTTATAAATATTTGATGCTTTAACAATGGAGTATAAAGGCTATAGCTTTATTTAACATGTTAATTTTATCATATATTTTATTATATTACTTTGTAAATTTAAGTTCTTTTGAACACTATTTTTTTAAATATATATATATATATATATATATATATATATATATATATATTGTATTATCTATTAAAAACATGATTTTACAAAAAGTTTAATTGAAAGAAATGGTTAATGGGATATTTTATTTAGAGAGACTTTGTTACCTTTTTATAAATGTCTAGGCTATATTTCTGATTTTAACACATATATTATGACAACTTATTCAATGTTATCTATTACTCTCTTAAAACCTTTAATAGTAAAACTTTTATCTATCTTTTTAAGATTTGAAATTACTTTATTTTGTATATTTTAAGCTTAAAAGTATATTTTTAATATAAATTTAATACGTTTTGGTGCATTAATTTTAAAGCTCTACTGAGTAGGACCTACTCAGAGTGTTCCTTTTTTTATGTTTGGAATTTTGCCTATTAATAACATACTAAATTTATTTTTATTAATTAAAAATGTTTGTACTTATATGTATTCATATTTGTTAGACAAAGATCATACTAATAATTTGGTATAATTTTTTTCCAGTTAATTAAAATTATTTTTTTAAATCTAAAAGCACTTATAAGTTATAATACATAATATTTATTTGACAAATTACCTGTTTTAGATTAGCAAAGTGTTTCGATTTAGTAATAAGTACCATTTTTTTTCATTATGAAAAAATAGTTTGAGTCAATTCCAGTTTTAAGTTTATTTATTTGTTTTTCATTGATATTTTATATAATTATATTTTTAAATAATTATTTAATATTATAATTATTTACTATTTATATCTTAAGTAAATTACAACATAGGCGTATCCACAGAAAATGCAAAGTATGCACTTGTGTACTCCTAAGATTTCAGGTATACCCACCACACACAGATTTACTTAGCTATCATATCCACAATAGAATTAAATTAACAAACTTACAGTTGTATTAGTTGTAACCTGTATTGTATTTGGTAGTCATCTCCTTATCATAAATTAAATGACACATTCATTGAATTGATAGGGATATACTCAAGGTAAACCTAATGGTTGCCAGATTACATCCTCTGTGATAAAGATCTGGGCATGCCTATGATTACATCCTTTGGTATACTTATTAGTGAACAATTTTATAGTGAATTATAATTTAAAAGTCTTATTTATTTATGTATTATTGTATTATGTATTTTATTTTATATTATTTCAGGTATAATATATCGAGATTTAAAATTGGATAATGTGCTACTTGATCATGAGGGCCATATAAAATTGACGGATTATGGAATGTGCAAAGAAGGAATAAGGCCTGGAGATACAACTTGTACATTCTGTGGTACTCCAAATTATATTGCTCCAGAAATTTTAAGAGGAGAAGATTATGGATTTAGGTATACATTATTTTTAAAATTCTAAATTTAATATAGGAATAGTTTTAATTAATTATTAATTTTTTATTGTTTAATGAAAAACATGTACACTTAAACCTATGTATAATTTAATTAAATACTCAATGTTAATTTCAATTTATTTTGATTTTTTTTTTAGTGTGGATTGGTGGGCTTTAGGAGTGCTTTTGTATGAAATGTTAGCTGGTAGAAGTCCATTTGATATTGCTGGTGCATCAGAAAATCCTGATCAAAATACTGAAGACTATCTATTTCAAGGTAATATAATACAAATAACAGTTAATTTAAAGCTCTTTTTTCATTTTTTAAAACTATTTTTCCAGTTATTTTGGAAAAAACTATACGTATTCCAAGATCACTCTCTGTTAAAGCAGCATCAGTTTTGAAAGGATTTTTAAATAAAAATCCTGTGGATCGTTTGGGTTGTAATCGAGACACTGGATTCTATGATATCATTACTCATCCATTCTTTAAATCTATTGATTGGGAAATGGTAAATCATCTTGATAACTAACTAAATATTAGCATTAATCATTTTAAATTATTATTATTACCAAGACATTAAAACAATTTATACGATTTTAGTTAGAACAAAAACAAGTTAGTCCTCCTTATAAACCAAGACTAGATTCGGATCGTGATCTTGCAAACTTCCCACCAGAATTTACAGATGAACCTGTTCATTTAACACCTGATGATCTGTAAGTAGATTTAAAATTTTTGTTTATTAATAAGTAATAATCATTATATAGTGGTGATTGAATAATTAAATAATAGAAAATTTGAAATATTATGTTAATTTAAAATTGTCATTTAAGTAATATTAACACATAGCCCAGGTGTTTGATCACAGTTGGCACAAAGAGTTTCTCCACAAGCTTAAATGGTTTTTCATTTTCTTACATCTAATGCTTAACTCCTTCTTATCACTCCTAACATTCCAACTGAGATGTGAAGATGAACTATCTATTACCTATTCAATTAAAGTAGGTATCCCTCAAGGTAGAATTCTTGCCCAAAGCATTGTACAATCTTTATACTGCTGACATACTCTATTCCAACCTTACCAATATAGCCATTTTAGCTGATGACACATCCATAAGTTCTTTTGATCCAAATATCAACATTACTATTAACAAACTTCAAAGTTACTTACATAAACTACAAATCTGATTCAATCTATGGTAAATAAAAATACATGAAAATAAATCATCATACATTACCTTCACGTTGTGCCTTAAAATCAGTTCCCCACTATTATTATATAATAAATTAATCCATATTGTCAATTCAATTAAATAGTAAATACTTAGGTATTTATATTGATAAAAGTCTAACTTGGGGTACTTACTTTAAAACTAAAAATATATCCTTAAATTAGAACTTCATAGTTTAAAACTCCTTTGCTGCTTTAATATCTTACTCAATTATAAAATTTTTTTTCTATAAACTACTAATTTATCTTATGACATCCAAATCAGAAGATCGATCAAAGTCTCAAATCTGAAATTGTTTCAATATTTCTAGTTTATAAACTTATGTTTATTAATAAAAATTCCGTAGCACAATAGTAACAAAACTCTTCATAAAGATCTCTCTCTTGCTTTCCTTTACTATAAAAAAATTCTACTCCAGTATTTTAGCCCACTCAAATCTTTTATAATGAAATGTCTCTTTTCTTACTGTCCCAGGTAATTTTTCCCATCGTTTAAAGCATAATTAGCCAGACAATTTCCCAAACATATAATTAGGAAAATATAAAAAATCTATAATAAAAAGCCTTTCAAGCTGAAGTATAATCAATTCACTCAAGTTATTAGGCCCTGTAAATTGTATTATATTATTTCATACTTGTTGTATTTTTTCATACAGATTGTAAATATTTATTTTAAAATAATAATAAAAAAGAGATAATATTAACATATTTTCTCAAAAAATTAATTTTCATTTATTTTTATAACTTCTTATACTTACATTTCATTGATGTGTGTTGAAAATTGACATTGTCATACTTGGCTCACCACTAAGTATTTAGTACTTGTACATATTTGATAAAATTAATTATCATAAAAAAAAACCTGATATACTTACTTAAATAGTAGTGTATTTATATTACCTTATAATGATGGATTATAGTTTATAACTTCAAAAGCATTTACATAAAATAAATAATTTTAGAAAACTTAAATTGTTGTTATCAACATATAAATATAACTTCACAAAGATTCTAGCCTATTGTTAAAATGTTTTTAATTTTTATGTTAAGCATTTACTATATTTTTTAAACTTTATTCTTGAGGAAACCTTTTACTTCTTACATAGGTAATTTACTATAACTAATGCGGTTTCAATAATAATAGGGTTGTGACTTATGGGTAAGTCGTAGGTACATACATTTGTAGCAAATCATTAAATGTAAATGTTTAACAGTAATACTTTTATTTTTGTCAAGTATGCGATTTATATTAGTATTATATTATTTAATATTATTTTGAGCAACCCTAAAATTCTTTAATGTGTTCTATAAATATTGCATAGTAAACCTAGCTCCACCCAAATCGTTTTTAGAATGCATATTTCTTTCATGTAATAAATAATAAAAACATCAACAATAATAATAATAATTATAATAATAATACGTCACAATCCAGAGTCTAACTAGCAAATGAGTCGTGACGAGTGTCAAACACCTGGTTTATGAATATTCTGTACAGATATTTTTCACACACATTTGATACATCTCTGGGGTGATTTACTAAGCATGATCAGTATTTTATAATATGATAAGCGTTTCTATTATCCTCATATTGTATGTGTACATATATTATTTAGTTACATCAAAACACACACTTTAAGTTAAACAATTGCTATTAATTAATTTTAATAAAATATCTGTTCACTTGACTGTTTTAAGCATTACTTGTTTTCTAAGTATTTCTTTGGGATCAAATTTTTAATCGTTATGTCATATTGTCAACATGGCCTCAACATTTATTTGTTTCTGTTTTTAGAATATTTCGTATTTTTGTTGTTATTAATTTTACAAAATAAAAATATGCATATTAAAAAAGTGTCTCATATCCATAATATAGATACTATAATCATCGCAGTATTACCAAATAATCGTTCCAAATTTCAATAAAAAAGAAACTATATGTTATAATACCTTTTATAAGGGGATACATAAAAAGTTTTTCCACGATATTAATAAATATCGTATGCAAGGTTTATTTTGTTGTTTTGTCTGTCAAGTTTGAATTATGTCTATCATTCCTAAATAATTGAATTTTTTTCATTTTACGGTTCTGGTAATATGAAAAATAAGTGGTTTGTATGACCAAAATTTATAATATTATATGTTATATCTTTCCGACATATATATCATATATATTCACGCCAATAATATAAGATTTCCCTTTTAAAACTCTCTTTAACAGGATTGTGTATTTTGTATTTGTTCTATATACATGTATTTCCGTCTTAAAAGCATGCAGACCAAAAACTTTCGGTTACAATGTCCATAAATCTATCGACTATTGCCTCGAATTTTCGGAGTTACACTGTATTTATTTTCATTCGAAATTCTCTATACTGCAGTATTTTCTTTGTGTATTACATTTGTGAATTGTGGTTTTACGATCTACTTTTTATATTTTGTTATATAAAATATTATGTTATTACAAATAATAATCTATGTTTTTTGTTGGTATTGTGTATATAATATCTAATGTGAATCAAAATATCAATGCGTTTTATTTTTATTGTATAAAATGTAAACTGCAGCTTTAATGTTATTAGACGACAAAAATCAGACACTAGGCAATAAATTATTTATACATAAACATATATTATTTAAAACAAATTTAACTTTGAAATTAGTGTAGCATATTAATGTTTTCAAAATCAGTGACCAATAGTTTTTTATATTTTAAACATCGTGAGGTCTATTAGGTATAGATTTTTATTTATTTTAGAAAGTTTACAGTTTTGATTTTAGACTATTAGTAAAGTCATTATTGTATTACTCAGTAATCATGTATGCTTTTAATTGATTTCTGACATTAAGAACTTAAAAATTTGTTAATTAATACTACAGTTTTATAAATATTTGCACTTTCGTGTACTGTATTACTTTAAAGTTTACTATATTCATACTAAAATCATTGATTTGTTGGCTTTTTTTTAAATAGTTTGTAATTTTAAGTATAGTAAGATTCGTTCAAGATTATACTTGTAGATTAACTCTTTAAAGTTTAATTCTCTTTATATATATATATTTTATTTATAGATATTAAAAACATATTATTATTAATTAGTTTTTACGATTTTATTTTTTCAACAAAAAATTATAGGTAACAATATTAATGATATAGAGAATTCCACTTTACGTCCAGTCTTTATGACGTTTTCTGTCTAACCATGTGTTTTGTGCTCTTTAAAAAAAACACTCACACAAACATATATATTTATATTTATATATATTACAATCAACTGATGTGAACTCGGTCTTTTTGTCGGTTTACTCTGTGAAAGCGTGATATTTTTATGAAATAAAAGGTGATCATATTCCGTGTCCACTGTAATAGTAATACAGTCGATGAATTTTTTCCTTGTCCTATTCGTACCTATATATAATGTAAGCGTTTTGTTTGGCATTCTCAATAAAAGGGCTATTATTATAATGACGATGTCGACGGCCGTCGCGCCACCGACGACGACAACGGCAGGTGACCCTAATATTTAAACCGATCTAGGACCCTAAACTGGGAATAATAATAACAAGCCGAGGAAATAGTTTTATATTCTAAGGAGTACATGATTATGTTTAAGGGTGGGTATACTACTGCATTGTTTTAACAAGGAATTATTATAATTACTTGCCCCTCTCCCACCCAGAATCTCCACTATTTCAGCCCTGTTTCACACGTCTCCTGTTTCCTGTACTTTTTAATTGCTACCTCGACCAAAGGAAAAAAAAGGATCAGCTGCTTCACTTTGTGTAATTCCGTTTCTCAATTGTCACAGCGGTCACCGAGGTCAAGCTGTTGAAAAAACGCCTGTCTCTACCGTTTTTGTACCCTTAGTATAATATCTATGTACAAACACGAATTTCGTATTGTTTATTTCCTTCTGCGGGCGCATTTATTTAGTTTTTCCTCTTTTCTTTAATGCATTCACTTTTCTGCTTTTATTATTTTTGTGAGAGATCGGATAGGAGTGAAAAATAATCTATGCCACTACCGAAGAGCTGTTGTATGCTCTTAAAGTGATGATATTATTTTCATTTCGTGACATTATGCTTTATCTGTAGCTTAACCGATATCAACAATTCTTATCTTTTTACGCAGTACGAATTACAAAAAGTGTGGTGCACTTTTATTGTCTTAAAACCAAGAGCATCCGAGTAAATGATTTATATTATGTATTTTCGTTGGCTGACTGGGTTACTGGCTACTGCACGCTCCTTGCGCATAATTGAATAAAATACGTAAAAGTTTGAAATCCCTACAAATAATATTTTTAAATTAAAATTTTTACTCTTCGTTTAAATGTATAATTTCATTCAAATGTAAACTTTCACTATAAGACAAACACACCAAAAAAAAAATCATATCATTGTAAAATCATTACATTTATAATCTAAAATGAAAATATGCGAAGTAAAATTAGGTATAGGTATATCCACTTAACAAGTCGTGAA